ACATCCCGATGCCACTCCAAGGATTTCAATGAAAAGCAGTGCCAAAGCAAAGCCTCCAATGGTGCCCAGGTTGTCGTAGAACAGGTCCGTGATTTTCGATAAACAGCCTGTTCTGTGTACAGAAGTTAATTTAGAGACAGTGATGCATTCCGGACCTGCGGTATCGTCTTTTTTGCAGCATGACCATGGGATCCGCGGGGGTTTATTCTCGTCTATCTTCCAATCATCTGGACCTGAAAAAATTCAACACTCAGCAATCAGCAAATTTATAAAAACTTTCACTGCTACGTATTGTTTAATTGCTGCTAAATAAATGCTGCTGCAGTATGCTGTATTATTGCTGTGCGTATCACGCCGTACACTGGATGCCGGCTATGCATTTTTATATCCCAGAGGTTACTTGTCTTCAAAAAATTTAGATTTTGAAAATACGATGTGAAGCGCGATAAATGCGACGGAAAATAAAAAATTCTTACATCAGCCAGAAAATCGCTACAAAAGGTTTGACAACGGAGAAGTTGAACGAGACATCATTGACCTCAGTCCCTGAGGATCAAATCCCAGTTTGATTAATCTAACTAACAACCAATATTTAAAAAAATCGTTTCTGGATGTCACAAATACTCACAATCACTTTTTTCAACATTTCAACGAAGAATCCTTGATTATCCAGAAAAAGGAACTTGTTGGCCACTATGTCACGAATTCTTACCAAATCAAAGGATTTCATTTTTTACAACAATGATGAGCCATGGAAGGGCACTTGAAAGTGGAAATACACGTTAAAACAATTAAACGTGCTGTCTGGAAACTATCATTTTAGAAAGTATCGAAATTTAAGGTTTTCGAACTCAATGAGCTCAGAGTCATCCAGTGGAATAAAATTATCCATTCTCGGTTCGTATAAGTCACTGCAATCTTCTAAGCATTGAATCTAAAATAAATAAATAAATTTACCATCGGATTCAAACTCCGACCTTCGTATTAATAATGACTTACAAGTTCTTGAAAATGTTTAATTGATACATCGCCTGAACATGAATTATTTTCAAACGTCAGAGTTTTCGAAAATTGCATCCTGAATGTTTATTGCCAAACAGAAGAAAAAAACAGAGCCAAAATTTTACCCCATGAACTGTTCCTTCCCGCAAAATCTCAACCTGTTACCATGGCAATGACCAGTCTGTAATCGGTCATGAAAAGCATTGCTTTATTGCCGAATCACGCATTTTTCTCAAATCATGAAATTATCCCGAAGAACTCCCCTTCAGCATCTATAGGCCGAAATCAGAGTCATAAAAACCTGGTACAAAGTGCGGTTTCCAGAGTATAATTCTATGACACCGCAGTACCATTGCACTTTTTTGTTGATAAGATACATATTCCCATGTATGATTCCATTCGCATGGACAGAAATCGTTTTTGGGCGGGTATAAATACCATTTCGTCTCAGGCATTACAATTCAAAAGTGACAATTTCGGGTCAACACCATCCAAGCTTCAAAAGATTGCCATAGATATATACCAACCAGCATTTTTCTTAAGTGGAAAAAATTAAACTGGTAAACTTTTGAAAATCAGAAGAAAACATGAAGGTATTTGGTGTTGTCCTCCTTTTCGTTACTCTAATTTCTGCAAAAGTGGAAGAGAAGAACAGCATATCTGATCAGTGCCCGGCCACCAATGATGCAGGTCTTATCCTTCTGGCTGACCCAGAGGATTGCAACAAGTTTTATACTTGTGACTGGGGTCAGGCCATCAGCCTCACATGTCCAAGTGGCCTCCACTTCAACCCAACACATCAAGTAATTATAGTCCTTTTTTAAATAAGCCATGCAATGGGGATGCATTTTATACAGACAATTTCTTCAATTTTCAGATTTGTGACTGGCCAGAAAATGCTGGCTGTACTGCAGGGCAAAAAACGACCGAAGCACCAACGCAGGAAGTAACTGAGCCACACGTGACTGAACCAGAGGAGGAAGAAGTGACAACAGTGGCAGATGAAGTTACCACTGTGATTGAGGGTGAAACTGAGGTGAGTGAGAAAATGATATGGCTTAAATATACTTGAAATACATTTGGGAAATGTGATAATCTATCCCTAGGTCACTGTTGAGGATTCCACCACCACAGTGCAGAAGCCAACTACTCAGAAACCAACAACCCAAAAGCCAACCACCCAAAAACCAACAACACAGAAACCCACTACTCAGAAGCCAACCACCCAAAAACCAACAACACAGAAACCCACTACTCAGAAACCAACAACACAGAAGCCCACTACTCAGAAACCAACAACACAGAAACCAACCACTCAGAAGCCAACAACTCAGAAACCAACTACCCAGAAGCCAACCACACAGAAACCCACTACTCAGAAGCCAACCACACCAAAACCCACTACTCAGAAGCCAACCACCCAAAAACCAACAACACAGAAGCCAACCACACAGAAACCAACCACCCAAAAGCCAACCACTCAGAAGCCCACTACTCAGAAGCCAACAACCCAAAAACCAACAACACAGAAGCCAACCACACAGAAACCCACTACTCAGAAACCAACAACACAGAAGCCAACAACCCAAAAGCCAACCACTCAGAAGCCCACTACTCAGAAACCATCAACCCAAAAGCCAACTACACAGAAGCCCACTACTCCTAAACCAACAACACAGAAGCCAACAACCCAAAAGCCAACCACTCAGAAGCCCACCACTCAGAAACCATCAACCCAAAAGCCAACTACACAGAAACCCACTACTCAGAAGCCAACCACTCAAAAGCCAACCACTCAAAAGCCCACTACTCAGAAACCAACAACCCAAAAGCCAACCACTCTGAAACCTACTACTCAAAAACCAACCACACAAAAGCCATCTACCCAAAAGCCAACAACACAGAAGCCCACTACTCTTAGACCCACTACTCAGAAGCCAACCACACAAAAGCCCACCACTGTTGGCAAGCAGGGCTGTGAGAAAGTGACCTGCCCAACCCAGAATGACCAGTTTGCTCTGCACTTGCCCAATCCAGATGATTGTGGGTCATTCTGCAAATGTGATTGGGGAACTGCACACCACTTTGATTGCCCTGCTGGTCTGCACTTCAATGCAGTCATTCAGGTCTGCGATTGGCCAGCCAGTGCAGGATGTCAAGCTTAAAGGTATACAGTAGTCTGATTATTTAAAATGTATACCTTATTTAACCAGCCAATTCAATGATGATTTTTTTTACTTTGCAACAGATGCCTGAAAAATCTTGTGGTAGAATGATTGCTGGAATCCATGATGCGTGCACGTGTTTAGGAATACTATCAATTTGTGGCCATTTCTTGTTCAATTTTGCAGTGAATTGGATACTGGCAATAAAGTGGCAATGATTGGATGCTAGCATTTCTTCATTTACATGTTTGCCTTTTGTGTATGTACCGTATTTACTTGAGTACCACATGCACCTTTTTTCCCAAATGTCAGAAGAAAAAAAGGGGTGTGCGTCATAAGCAGGTACAAAATTTTGAAGAAGTTTTAGGAAGTTATGTGTGCATTATACATAATTATAATGGAGAAAGTTGGAATAAATATGAGAAGAAAACATTTTTGTACTGAAAAAGTTGAAAATTGATTAGATTTTTGTTCAATTAATGCCTAAAGTCAAATTTTTTGTTTTCATTTTTAAAATTTTATGGTTTTAGCTTCACTAAAAATTGGGGTGCGCATTTTACTTGGGGATAAGATTTTTGCAAAATTTTCAACTGAAAAACCCCTGTGCGCCCCTTACTTGAGGGCACGTGGTACATGAGTAAATATGGTATTATATCTCACAGCTTGTAATTGGTGTTATATCATGAACCATGTTCAGAAGTTACAAATAGTAACACATTTAGTTGGCTCAAACTAACAAATTAACAATATTTTTTTCAGATATTTGATTGCCCTGCTGGTCTGCACTTCAATGCAGTCATTCAGGTCTGCGATTGGCCAGCCAGTGCAGGATGTCAAGCTTAAAGGTATACAGTAGTCTGATTATTTAAAATGTATACCTTATTTAACCCGTCAATTCAATGACGATTTTTTTTATTTTGAAACAGATGCCTGAAAAATCTTGTGGTAGAATGATTGCTGGAATCCATGATGCGTGCACATGTTTAGGAATACTATCAATTTGGGGCCATTTCTTGTTCAATTTTGCAGTGAATTGGATACTGGCAATAAAGTGGCAATGATTGGATGCTAGCATTTCTTCATTTACATGTTTGCCTTTTTTGTATGTACCGTATTTACTTGAGTACCACGTGCACCTTTTTTCCCAAATGTCGGAAGAAAAAAAGGGGTGTGCGTCATAAGCAGGTACAGAATTTTGAAGAAGTTTTAGGAAGTTATGTGTGCATTATACATAATTATAATGGAGAAAGTTGGAAGAAATATGAGAAGAAAACATTTTTGTACTGAAAAAGTTGAAAATTGATTAGATTTTTGTTCAATTCATGCCTAAAGTCAAATTTTTTGTTTTCATTTTTAAATTTTATGGTTTTAGCTTCACTAAAAATTGGGGTGCGCATTTTACTTGGGGATAAGATTTTTGCAAAATTTTCAACTGAAAAACCCCTGTGCGCCCCTTACTTGAGGGCGCATTGTACTACTCATTTATACCATAATATAGAGTGTCGAACATTAACCACAATATAGTACTTGGTACAAGTCTTCAATGTTTATCATTGTGTAAATCAACCGAGTTTGATTGTTTAATTGTTATAAAAAAAGTCTAAACCAGATGTATGAGTCGTTTTATTTCTCACACTGACATCAGTAGACATACTAATCTTTCCTCAGCATCCTACATAGCATTTGACCAAATGACCAGTTTTCTTCTAGGGTACAACTAGTTTCCTTTTTTGATAACAACAGAACGTAGGGGAGTCGTCCTTACAGTTCAATGTAGTGTTACCATGTACAGAAATTTGTCGACGAGTATACAATTAACTTATGACTACTGCAGTTTTGCATAATTTATTTCTGGACGATGTACATTCAAACAATTAAGGTTGGAAATTGCTGAAAAAGGCAAATATAAAATTGAGTGAATGTAACAGCATTCAATCAATTTGAAGTAATTATGAAAATTTTATTCTGTGGAGATTTTCTAATTACAGTAAAAAAATTTGTGTTTGTTCCTTGCGCATATTCAACATTCAAAAAAAGAGTTTGCCTGCATTTTCAGACATCCACTAGAGATAATCTGCCTTTAATTTTGTTTTACTCAACTATAGCTGATTGATCATGGTATATATTGAATAGATAATAGAAATAGGTATCAACTTTATCATTCAATCATTTCAAAGGCGTCTGCGCTCATGCTTGGAAAGAAAAATACAAGCGTATATCTGATCTAGTGTCATTCAAGTGAAATTTGAATATCCCCTAGTTGTTGATAATTGTTGACTGATTTGTTCTTAATTGGGAAATGCTCGTCACATCTTTTAACAATGATGTATGTTGCAGACAATTCTTGAACTGATCAACTTCATATTTTTAATTCTATGAGGAAGTCCATGCCAATCCTGAACTGATCATTATTTCTGAAATGTTAAGCTTTTTTTCGTCTCATTTTCAATCTAAATATTAGATACTAAATTGTTGTGGGAACAGTTGTACGCAAAAATGGATCCATTGATTGATACCACATTTAACCCTTCTGCAGCAAAGCTGGGATATTTTTGAAAAATGTTTGTGCTCAAGTGGACTGAAAAAACATAAACTGAGAGCCAAAGAAACAGTTGTACGCAAAAATGGATCCATTGATTGATACCACATTTAACCCTTCTGCAGCAAAGCTGGGATATTTTTGAAAAATGTTTGTGCTCAAGTGGACTGAAAAAACATAAACTGAGAGCCAAAGCCTAATTTGAGAAATGGCCTGACATTTTTCTCTTCAGGCAGAATATTTTTGCTGCAAAACATTTCTTGCCTGGTGGAATTTTCTCTGCATTCCCATAGAACATATAGGATTAGCATTGAAGATTTCTGGAAATAAAAGGATTAACTCTTCCTGGATGTTTTCCAACTTAGGCCTTATCAAGCCAGACCCCTTTTTTTTACCTTCAGTAAAACTGGAATGCGCCTGTGTGCAAAAAAACCCCAGATTTGATGTGCTAGGATGGAAAGGAGGCTGTTATTATTGCCAGCCAAGGGTTATAAACCAAATTTCTCTATACAATAGCAAAGGGCGAAACTCAACTAAAAAAAAAACCAAATCAAATTGGAAACTCACTCTCCACACCGCAGCACTTGAGTCCCTTCTGCATGTCGTCCCAATGAGTGATCACCGCGGCATTCGTAATGTTCTTATCAAACTCCGTCCAATACTCTTTCAATTGCTTATTCATCATCTTCGTCCCGGCGTATTCCCGCACGTCGTTGCGGTACACATACGCAGCAATGGACCCGCCGAACTCCAAAATGACCAAGAACCCGATGATGCTCGAAAAGGCCAGGACCAGCACCCTGCTTTCCCGAATGGCAGCCAAACAACCCACGCCGGCCACCACGAACATGACCAGCCCGATGAAGATGAGGAGACCCGCCGGCTCTTTGATCTCGTCACGGGCAAGATGGCCGTAGTCGCTGAGGGCGGAGTTGGTGTCCGAGAGCACGACTGCGGCAGTGATGAGCACTGCGAGACCCAAGATGGCGAACAGGGCATTGAAGATGAAGAGGGCCCACTTGAGTGCCTGGAACGGGATTCCTCCGCCTGCGCCCATTCTTACTACTGGCGTCTTTATACAGTATGATACAATATCCGTGGAATTCCACTAATTATTTCGTGGTACGCTCAAAATTTACAAGGCGAAAATGATGAAAAGAACCAATGGTAGATCCTTCGCAACTTGCTGCGACGTTACTGAAGGTTCTGTGGAGGAAAAATAAGAAATAATGGTTGAGAGATTGACTGAAATTTACATTCTACTACATACAATCGAACCTTGATAACTCAAACCTCTCATCCAAGAAAAGTACCTTCCTATGTCAATTTTTTCAAGGTTCCTTCAGGATACAAAGTCAATATGATGCTGGACGCCGATTTAATGAAAGAAGTTTAAACCTCATCATGGGAAATACTTCTAATGGATGATGACAACATCACTTGTGGATTAGTAGTAATTCACTTGAATGCCTACTACAGTACATACCGTATATGCTCCAATAAACGCCCCAGCGTTTATTTGCAATTTTCAATTTTTTCCCCAGGCATTTAATAGATACCGGCGTCTTTTAGAGACCGGCAATCATTGCCAACAGTTGTTGCTGGGTAATGTCAGGAGAAGAAAAAAAGGAAAAACAGGAGAATGAATTTTGTGGGAAACCTTGGATTTGCCATTGTTCATTAGAAACTGAGACAGGAATGCTTCATAAAATGCTGGAGGGAAAGGAATCCTTTGTTTTATACTTAAGACCAAGGTGTGAAGTAAGGGTCAAAATGTGGTAAGGATTATTACAGGTCAAGAAAATTCCGGGAATTTTTCCTTACCCACCCCCTCCCCAAATAGTAGCCGGGTCTCTTCTTGGACCCGGCTACTATTGGAGGCCGGCTACTATTCACTTGTATCCCCTCTGTGAACTGGCATTTATAAGAGACCGGCCTCTATTAGATAAAAGGCGTCCATTAGAGCAAATACGGTACCCTTGAGTGTGGATAGTCACTTGGACTCTCTCTACAAAGAAACTCAAGGGGCAAGAAAAATGCAATTTACAGAGACATTCATTGTAGTGAACCAGTATAATACCAGGAGAAACCCCTATGGGACCAAATAAATTTGGTTTAAACTGATACATTTGTGTAGACCAGAGTACACCCATATTTGAACTTCCCTAGCCATAAACCTCCTTTTACCAACTTGTTTGAAGTACCTGCCTGAATGCCCCTATAAGAAATGCCTAGAAAACCTTTCTTAAGCGGTAAACCCCCACACAACAGACTAAAGTTGTGCAACAGACTGGTATGTTGCATGAAAAGTCTGTTATACAGATTCAATTATTAAAAAATTGAAATTTACACTCACTGCCATTGATTTTAAACCAACAGAAGTCTTGTATGCAGATTAAGTCTGTTGTGCAGAAGGAAAAACTACCTCCAGAGGAAGTCTGTTTTGAAAAAATCTGTTGTGCTGGAGGTTTGATGTGTGGGGGTCAACTGTACTCATAGTGTTTTCCTCCCAAACCTCCATAACTCAAATTTTCAGCAGGTCTTTTGACCATTATTTTATTGACACAGGAAAGGGGCAAAGCAATACAAATATAACTTTGTGTATAATGTACTGTATTTTTGCTACACATGTTATAGATGAAAAGAATGTGAAAGACTCAATGAGTATACAGTATATACACCCTTGCCTTCAACTCCAGCATACTGCCAAGGTGCCAAGTGCCAACTCATTCAGGAAGGAACTTATGGCCCAGAATATCCCCAACTAAAATATCCTGCAACCTATCTTCCT